ATTTACAACTATCTAAGATAATTTGATTAAATATCTTGATGATAATTTTTAAAATCAAATTAATAATTTCTACAATCTTTGATGATAATTATTACCATGAGAGTTTATATTTTATCAAATTGATATTTATATTAAATAAAAGTCATTTCTAATATTAATTAGAATAAAAAAAAATTAATTTTAATTTTCAGTTTATGTCTACCACCACATTATTATTATTATCCACAGATTCGGTAGAATCTGGCGCCAAGTTCCGTTCAAATCCGTTGTAAACGGAGCGCCAGACTACCGAGTGTGTTTACTGTAAGCAGAACGGTATTTCGAGGTTGCAAAATTTTATTTAATTCTACGGTAATTTTTTTTCCTAAATTTTATATTATAACAGTAATTCATACTTTATTTTACTGATATTAATTAATTATATTTAATTATAACAATTAATCTACTTGAAATTATTAAATTTAATCAGCACAAACTATAGCAACGCAAAAATTTCGATGCTGACTTTTTTTCGATGGGCAAAGTGATCTGCCACAGACTACATAATTCGATAGTGCATGGTAATCCTCCGATAGATGGGAAACTACAGTTACCCGGGGAAAACGGTTTAGATCTGACCAGATATAATTATATCTGGTCAGATCTAATTATATCTGGTCAGATCAATTTATATCTGATCAGACATGGGATTGGAGACATAATCAGATCTAGTTATATCTGATCAGATCTAAACAGATATAACTATATCTGAGTTGAAAAATTCATCAGACATGATCAGATCTAGTCATATCTGATCAGATATAAACAGATATAACTATCTGAGTTGAAAAATTCATCAGACATGATCAGATCTAGTCATATCTGATCAGATATAAACAGATATAACTATATCTGAGTTGAAAAATACATCAGACATGAACAGATATAGTCATATCTGATCAGATCTAAACAGATATAACTATATCTGGGTTGATAAATTCATCAGACATGAGCAGATCTAGTCATATCTGATCAGATATAAACAGATATAACTATATCTGAGTGAAAAAATACATCAGACATAAT